ACTTACTTAAAATCAGTAATAATACATATTGGCCCGGCCCCATGTTGATGGCATTTAGCAAAAATCCCTCCCTCCCCGAAAATTCTACAGTTAAAACAAAAATCTGAGCACTGAGTAGTGTCCTTTGTATAGCAATATTTCACTATGCTAAGAAGAATTTTTTAAATACACCTTTTTTAAAAAGGAAGAGGTAATCGTAGAAATGATAAGAGTTTTGTTCAAGTCCTGGTTAAGAACTCAGGGCTGACTGCCTGCCTCAACAAGGGAGAAAAATGAGCAAATCAATGCATTTGGTGTTGTTTGCATTCATCTATTGGAGTGACAAACATTAAGGATGAATATCTGCTAATTTAAGTGAGGCTCTTACTCTTCCTAACAGTGTGTACGTGAGTCACTGGTAATCCATGTTTCTAGTATGAAATGCAAGTTTTAAGGACATACTTTAGTTTTGGTAAAAAGAGCCAAAAACAAAAAAATTCACTAATTTGCTCTTCTTGGTCATTCTTCTCAAACAGACCCCAGAAGTAAACCATAGGGATTGGTACATTACTATTTTAAAATTAGCTCATTTTTAAATTTGAGAAAATCTGCCCTGCTTAAAATTCCTATCAAAACTAAGCTTTCCTTAAAAGATATGAGTCAATACAAAGAGTCAGAAAAAAATACTATTAGCTCTCCCTGGGTCCACTCAAGACTCAAGAGCCAGTTCTTGAAGCCCCTTAAAACTAGCAGTTGCTTCAAGACAGTTTGAAAACCACCATCTGCAAATAGAGAACAGAGGAAAACAAGCAAGTTTTAAATGGGGGACTGGAGCAAAAAATTAGCCATTAGATGATGGCAGCAAGGTGGGAAAGAATAGGAAGGATGGAGTTAGAAGGTCCAACTGACACATGCAAACCCTAAAAGGAATTAAGAGTAGACGAAATGGAAATTCGACAGCAGTCAGGGCCGCTTTCCTGCACAGATACAGAAGTGAGACTTAAGTCATGCATAGCTTTTTGGGAGGTGCCATAGCTGTTCGGAAAACAGTGAGGCGACAAGCTAGCTGGCAGCAGCACCACCTGGAGCACAAACGCGAGAACAAGACGGTGTCTTTCCCACACCAGTGTCGGTCAGCTTTGGAAATCTCAGACAGAGCCGTTCCAGTCCAAGAATCACTCTGAATTAGAGCGTTATGGTGTCTTCACGGCTGAATTTCATCACAGCAGCCAGGACGACATTTGGTTTCGCCTATGTATGTCCTTATTTTCTGTCAGGTCTCATTAAATGAACAAGCAAATCAGTAAAAATATAAAACTTCACCCCTAAAAATCAAGATGCTTCATTTCGTCTAAGATAACAATTCCTTGATGAATTATCTGAAAGGGGTAAGAAACGATTTCCGCACCAACTTAGTGATACATATGGAGAGAATAATGAATGATCCTTCATCAAATGTCCTCGTTTCAAGCACAAATTTTAGACGAATTTTTTAAAATTCAATTTGTAATTCATGAAAAGGAGGTGAAAAGTGTTTACCTAACCATCAAGTAAGCTGAGGCCCAAGGTATGAAAGAAGCCAACTCAGCATAAGCACAGGTGAGTGCAAATCTACACTCATACAGCTACTCAATCACAGAGTTTCCCCAAATGGAAGTGACTATCTTTAATTATATACATACTAAAGCTCAGAATTACATAGCTAACTAAAAAGAAATTTTCTATTAAATTATCAGACTCTGAAGGATCTCAAGAGGCCAAAAAAGATATAATAATGATTAAAAGCAAGGCTCTGAGTTACACAATCTGTCCACAGGGAAACCATGAGATCTCATTGGCCAACTAACCACTTCAGGTAGCAAGCAGTGTCCTCGTTGATGAAATGGGCATAATGGAACTTTTCCAGAGTCACTGACAAGATTAAATGAGGCAATATACTCAAGCTACTACAACAGGGCCTGGCACATTATAAACACTCAATAAATGTGCGCTGCTGTCATTGCTATCATTATCAACTATGACTGGGTTCAGTTTAATCACATAAGCAAAAAAACTGAAGAGTAGAAGCAGCAATAGATTCTTAAGCCTCTTGACTTTATTCAAGCCACAGACAAATTCGGCAAAGATTGCTTTACTAAGTGCAGAAGGGCAAAAATAGGATCTACCCATAGTATGCTCTGTCTGGGATTTCCCTGTCAGAACTGCTGGCATGCAAAGCTCATTTTAAGGCTAATCCAGCAGAGGCAGATTAGCAAATCAGAGTACTGGAAATAACCAATACATAAAATACACACATTTGCCTCCACTTCCAGAGAAATCATCGATCAATGGATCAACTGAAGGTAAGCAGGAGGGAAAATACAAGAAGGGTCAAAGTTCAGGTTCAGTAGTGACACAGAGAGGGAACAGAGCAGTACTTTGGCATTTGGGAAGGCGAAATATATTATCATTTTATAGACTGTATTCATCTCAAGTCAAGTGCTAATCAGTTAAGATAAACTAAACTAGAAGACCAGAAGAGGCCTTCAAAATCTTATTAGAATTCCAAACAATATAATATTAATTTTATACTCAAAAAATAAAAACATGCTGTATTTAATAAAGCCATATACTATTCTACCTGAATAATCTAGTTAACCCACTCAGAGGACCTTCTGATTAGACATTATGTAGGCGGATCACTAAGGTTTAAAACCTGAATTCATTTTTAAGACAACATTGTAAAACAATATCCTCTGGAAGTCTAATTCTTGAATTTAAAGGAAATGGATATTTTCTCCTTTTATGTTTACAGGGAGCTGGATGGGGAGCATTCACACATATATCACTGCAACTACATTAATCCAGAAAAGCCCATAACACAAAAACAAATATCTCAAGTAAGATTTTTATGAAGTGATTAATTTCTCAGTAGGAATAAGCCTAACATGCTCCAACTAAACTTCACTGTGACCTAAAATAGAATTCTAATAAAAATACAAGTAGTTGCATATTCTTGAAAAACTAATTTCATTTGTTCAAATTAATAGCCTAGTGCCAACGTACAATATAAAAAAACTGAGATAATTTTCATTATGTTAATAAGAAAAAAAAAAATAACCTTTCTGTACCATCTAGCATCTGCACATTCCTTAAACCTAAGTTTAAATATAAGAACCTGGAAGAGGAAAGGATTAGGTTTTACACTGATCCTGAATTCACTCACTATCGATGATGTCTCCCAGGCCCTGAGCACGAAGAAGATCCTTCAGCCGCGTCACCTCCTCCTTTAGTTCACGGACCAGCTTGGCATTGGGGTCCTCATTGATAACAGCATTGCATTTAATCTGCTTTGCACGATCTGCATACCTAGATCCAAAAAGAAACTTCAGGTTGGCCATTCCTAGGATGCTCTCCTTCTCACAAGTCACATATCATTGTTCCCAAAGCAAACAGCTTGAGTATTTACAAATTTTAGGAGCCTTAATAATAATACATTTGTATAAAGCTTTATAGTCCCTCATAAAGATGAGGGAAAAGGCTCAAATGAAGTGATTTACCCAAGATCACGAAGGAAATAAATACCAGAGAAAGGACTCAAAACTGATTGTCAGACCGAACAGTGTTCCTTTCGTTATATCAAAAGTGTCTTTCATGAGAGAAGAGTAGAAATTTGGGGATTAAAATAATTCATATGTAGAAATATTCTATTAGTAAACATTCTGTCACTAATTTTTTAAAGGCTACACGTACTCATAGTTATATCGCTTTTTACGATTTAAGCATTTCTATAACGACAAACACCAGAAGGGACACTTCTTTTTATAGAAATGGATGCTATAGGAAACTCGGTATTATCTAAAAGCTATCCAAAAATCTCACATGAACAATTTTAATATCTTTCTTATGAAAAAGTTCCTGCCTTTCCCAATGAAACTGAAAACATAAACAGGTAAATTCTATTATAATAAGAATTTTTCCCCACTCCCCAGTATCCCTCTAATGAGTGGACTGGATCAGTACTTACATAAATGACCACCCATACAGCATAAGAACATCCATGGCCTAACAAAATGCCTTATCGTGGCACTGTGCTCCATTTAGCTATTGGGATCAAATTGGAGTACCTCAGAGTGCTCAAAGTTTCATCATAGTTGATATCTGCTGGGCTCAGGGCAGCAACCATGGCAGTCCGAGAATTGCCACCTAAAAAAAAGAATCATCATGATCTCATTCTCGTTTTTAGAAGAATTTTATTGACTGTATTAAATCAGACAGCACAACTTCAGATCCTAAGATTTAATAGAATTTAATAAATTTCTTTAATGTCCCCATGCCGGGTACCGTTACACTCAAACCTTAGTGTCTGGATCTACTGTGACCAGTTTCCTTATTCCCACTCCTATCAAGACCTCAGCCACTTCACCAAAGCTGCTCTTAGCAACGTGATACGGACAAGTCACTAGTGGAATGGACAGTCCAACGGGCCACTGTCAGCCTCTTCTTTCTATCAGCAGTGTGGGATGCAGTTGATCACTCCCTTCTTCTCATCAAGAAGGAGGGAAAAGGGCTAAAGAAACAGTGAATGAAGGACAGTGACCTGAAGCTCCTCAAACATCAGCAAAATGAGTAAGGGTTGGTAACATCCAATTATGTGCACTTCAAAGGAGCATGGAGTTTTCAAAGAGGAAGAAGGAGCAATAGTCTGAAGCAGGTGTGTGGTTCATGTCCTGAAGTCAACAACGTATGGGAGAAAACCCTGATTTAAACAAAGGTGCGTGAATGCAACCATCTTAAATCAAAAAGATAATCACACACCAGTGGTCAACATACCTAGATTTTCTCGAAGGAGCCAAGTAAGTACAGAATCCCTGTAGGGAATAAAATCAGTTTTCTTCTTCTTCTTACTCTGTTAAACAGAAAAAAATGGTCTTAGCATTGTTAAGGAAGAAAAATTCACCTGAAATGCAAAGCAGTCTAAGATTTCCAAGTAAATTCAGTTACAGCAGAACCCCATCCCCGCTGGCATTAAACACCCTCAGCTTCGATTCTTCACAGTACCCGAGGCTCATGCGACAAAGTCATTTTTTCTTTTTATATTTTATTTTAAAAAATTACTACATACACGACAGTTTAGAGAATAGTAAAATGAGCTATCATATAACCATTATGGGTATTTTGACAATCATATTTCAATTATCCCTCAAACACTTTTCTACATGTTTTATTTCTGAACCATCCTGGAGTAAACTGCAGACAGCATACCCTTTTAATTCCTAAACACTTCAGCAGATAAGGACATTCTCTTACACAGTCACAGTTCAAAGACCCTAAATTCATGAAATTTAACATCAACATACTAATACTAATATCCTACCCATATCATGTCTTTTATAGCTGGTAGTGTTTTAAGGCATTTTATGTATAAATAGTTCAGGTACATATCTCTAACGGAGGACTTTTTTTTTTTTTTAACATAAGTGCATGACTATCATTACATTAAAAAAAAATAACAATGATTCCTTAATATCATCTAATACCCAATCCTCAAATAATAATTTTTACTTTTGCTGAAGGGCAAATATGAATCCTGTACATTCCAGGCTCCATGTGTTGGAGCAAGTCGTTTAGTTAATGAATTTGGCCAAAACAAATCATTAAGTGACTTGTTACACATCTAGTAACTCTTGTAAAGCAATACACATCTGGTTTCTTGAAATGGAAATTATACCCAAAATAACTCTAACCATCAGAATTAGAGTAAAAGTCTAAGAAAATTATATAATTTTCAATGCAAAGCCAGGGCTGAAATGGAGAAAGTTACATCCCTTGTATGTAAAATTTAACACAAACACTCTGCAGACAGCTACTCCAGTATCTGCAGGCTGATGACTGTGTTGTGATAAGTTAAGAAGCTACCAAGGGGAAAGCCAGAATTCAATGGTATATATCTCCCCAGCAACTGGCAGTTTTAGAGTCCATCCCTGGTATAACGTGAGGTTCGATTAAACTAAGGACGCTGTACTGCCTGTGAAAGCACAGGTACTCAGAAAAAGAGTACTAAGTAGCTGACCTCTGGTTTGTTGATGAGGAAAGGAAGTAGGCAAGTAGCACTTTAATTCCACTTATGAAAACGACCCCCCCATTTCATTCCACTCTACCCACAGACACACATGCCAAATATTAGAAGTCACTTCCAATAGCAGGTTCTATTTCTAAATTACACAGACCTCGAAGGAGACTAAACTCTCTCAGTCATTCACGGCCTCGTGGGATTTTCATTCCACTAAAAAATTCTTGAGACCTGAGACCTCAGTTTATCTTTTTCCAGTTCCCTGCTGCGCCTAAACACCCCACCTTTGTCTATGGCTAGTACTGAAAATGCTGCAAGATTTGATGCATGCCGGTAACAAAGATTGCAAACAATACTATAAAAAGCAGCACTGTCCAATTGCCAAAAATGCTCTACTTTCATTTCTATTAGACTAAATTAAGGAGTAGCTAAATAAATACACATAAATAGGACTTCAATCTTTTCCATTTGAAAATATGCCAGAATTCTAGCCATTTCTTTTCTATCTGCTCTCTTATACCGATTAATCTCATCTGTCTCACATCGACAACTTTTTTTTAAAATAAGTGCTTCAGGAGTTACATAAAAATTTTTACTCAGCAGCAACCTTTCTAAAAAGAAATACTATTAGATGTGAATTATCTCCCCAGTGGAAATAAGAATACATATCAATTCACCAAAAATTATGCTTGTTACATAAAAACTAAAATTATTTGCTTTTGTTATAGTTACGACATAGATGCAAAGTCCTAAACTGGGTTTTACAAAACTGATTATAAAAAGTCATTTGTGAATTATTGTGGCACACAGCAGTGTGGGAAATATATAGATAAATACTTTGTAAACTTTTTGTTGTTGTTGATATGGATGTTAACTGATGAGCAAATAGACAGGACAAACTGGAATGATCCTTAAGTTTCAACAGTCTTTCTGGTTCCAGGACCCAGATTAGATATTTGAAGAATATTCACGAATGTACATCAAAATTTTAAATCTAAGATAGTTTTTTCCAATAAGCAGAGAAAAACAGAAAAAGGGCATTACTTTCTATTAATTTATTTTTGTAGAAAGAGAATAAATCCACATATTTGAAAATATGAGTATAAAATATTTCAATTCAGATACTATCCCCAATATTACTCATCCCCAATATTACTCATGTAGGAAAATACTAATAAACTTTAGAGTATTTGTATAGAAATATGAAGAGAAAAATCTATTGTATTTGGATTAAAAAGGATGCAAATCACGTTTTCTAGATGCAGATAAAAGTTTAACTTGATTCTACAGCCTTTACTTTATGTATAATTAAAGAGTAGAAAAAATTGGTTAATCATTTAAATAATTTATGACTATTCATGGTCGGAAACAAGATAATACAAAGAGGTATAAGAAAGATATATTAATAATTTCAAGACGCCAACTAGCTATGTTTTAGAATGGTATCCTTAAGAAATTTCTTTTACAGTCCCTTTGAGAAGTTTATAGGAGGCTTCGTCACTTCCTACAGATCACTAGGAGAAACATCTTAAGGTAACACAATGTAGAAGCTTCCTCAAATTTCATGATTCTGAATTCCTTCTCCAAAGCATATCATGTTCCCTAAATTAATTTTGCTGTGAAGTCTCATGATTCATGGTCACCCTACACAGCAATTCTAAATTCCAGAGCCAGAGAACAAATAAAAACTTTTTGGAAGGTTCCATTCCTATTTATGCCTCCATACATTCTGCTGAGGATCTAAAATCATCACAATTGATTCTACAGTTAGTTCATTTTTACCAGACTACCATACCTTGCTGGTGCAGTTATCCTACAAATGAAAGCATTTAAAAGAGAAAATGAGAACATAGGATAAGCTTCTAAATAGAAAATATACCATTTAAATTTTAAGTCATAAATTGAATATGACTTCTCAGAGACAAGCAAGAAAGTATTTAATTTTTTTAAGGATTTAAATGAGGTGCTAAACTAAATTACAGCATGCTTCCTTAGCTCTCAATGCAAATACTGAAGCCCCTTATATAAAAATTGTTTCAGTATTAGTGTTCCACTGCCAAGAAATAGGAAGAATAAACCTATTTTAAAAAGTACATTATTGGCCCCCAAATCAAGAGCATTTATCAAGGCAAACTGCGCAAAATACTCCGAAAAGTACTGCATGCTACTTAGAAACAAACTGTATAAGAGAAGAATATGCAATAAATACTAGTGGTTTTTAAGAGAGAGATGAAAAAAGGCTCAAAAAAATTTAGGTCTTTCTAAAGATATAATTTTCATTCTAGCCTTTACAGATCTATGTTTACCTTTATTCTCCTTAATCTTCTACTTTTAGTACAAAGACAAAGTGTGTTATACCTGGTATCTTATCGACAAGTTCTAAATGAAGACAGGCAAGATTACACAAAAGGGCCAAAAAGGACAGCTTTGATAAAGAATCATAAAATATCAAGTACATTTGCTAAACAGACTAATAATTTCCCCTTATAATGAAATATAACACTTACCACCTCTGCCAAGGCTGAAATGACTTTGCCCAGAGTTGTAAGAGACTTATTAATATTTGCTCCTTCCTGAAATCAATTTCAAACATGAAAAGATTATGATAAAGAATTTCTACTATTGCCACATCATATGTAATAGATAAAATACAATTAGCCATATGCTAGCATTATTGTTTATTTATGACCACCAATCCTAAAAACCTCCTTTAATCCTCAATTTCCCTCCTCTCCACCTGATAACATGCTGGGACCACATGCTTAGCGCACAGTGCTAAAGTATCTTTGAGATGTTTGTGCTCCAAAAAATTATAGATGCAGCCTTCTTCCTACAACTCACCAACATGAAATTTCTGCTCGTTAAGCATCTCTCTAAAGGAGTCTGTGCCTGTTCTCACATGTGGATCATGTGTATCTTCTTCCCAGTTTCCGTCCCTTACTTTCATCTAGCCAAACTCTGCCTGTTCCTCAAAACACAATTCAACTCTCACCTGGACCATAAAGTCCTCCTTAATTATTATGTTATATAACTTACCACTTCATTGAAGTTATAGATCAGAGTTGGCAAAATTTTTCTGCACAGGTTTTGTGGGCCATATGGTCTCTGCACAACTTCTCAACCCTACCATTGTAGCATGAAAGCAGCCACAGGCAACACATAAACAAACAGACGTAGCTACGTCCCAATAAAATTTTATTAACAAAAACAGGCAGCGGGCCAGATTTGGCCTACTGGCCATAGCTGGCTAACCTAATTATTAATAATTATTGACTAGGCCATTTGTTTGGTAAAATAAATACCTTTAATCGAGTCCCTTTGGCACCAGTTGAGTCAGCTCGTTCACTTCCCGCTAGATCCACCAAGCTGATCTTACTGACCTGGTAAAGAACAATGACATTGGGACAATTCAAACGTAAGCAACATAGAAGTAGAAAACATTGAGAGGTAGGAAATTAAAAGATTAAAGCATGGAGAAGACCGAAAATATTGATTAGAGCTCTTACATATGACAAAAGATAAAGACAACATACACTTTTTATCAATTTAAAGAGCACACACAAAAGTTCACAGTAATTATCTTAGTTCAAAAGAAGTAATTTTAGAATAAACACATTTTACAGTGGTATGTTATAAAAAGATAGAAAACTCTGCAGCCACTATGGAAAACAGAATGGAGGTTCCTCAAAAAATTAAAAATAGAACTATCATATGATCTGGCAATTTTAGTTCTGGATATTTGTCCAAAGAAAATAAAAACACTGACTGTAAAAGATATATGTATACCAATACTCATTGCAATATCATTTAAAATAGCCAAGATACAGAAACAATCTAAGTGTCCATTGATATATGAATGGATATAAAAAATGTGGTATATATGTACAATGGAATATTATCCAGCCATAAAAAAGAACGAAATTTTGCCATGTGCAACAACACAGATGGACCCTAAGGGCATTATACTAAGTTAAATAAGTCAGACAGATAAAGACAAATACTGTATGATCTCACTTCTATGTGGAATCTTTAAAAATAAAAACACAATTCATAGATACAGAGAACACATCGGTGATCGCCAGAGGCAGGGTGTGTGTGTGTAGGGGGGACAGGTTAAGTAAAACAGCTGAGGGCGTCAAAACAACAAACTTGCAGTTATAAAACAAGGAGTCATGGGAGAGTGACGTACGGCATGGCGATGATGGTTGTTAGTAACACTATACTGCATAGTTGAAACTTGCTAAGAATAAAACTTAAAAGTTCTTATCACCAGAAAAAAAATTCTCTGACATACAGTGAAGGATGTTTATTGTGGTGACAATTTCACTATCTAAATATTGATTATGTTGTACAACTGAGACTAATATAATGTATGTCAACTGTACCTCAATAAATGGAACTCTTAAACACTGATGTTGGGAACGTAAAATGATATGTTTTACTCTGAAAAACAGTTTGGCAGATTCTTAAGAAGCTTGACATATACCTACCATAAGACTCAACTATCCTACTCCTAAGTATCAACCAAAGGGAAAAAAAAACAAATATCCACACAAAGACTGTACACAAATGTTCACAGCATCTTCATTTGTAATGATCGAACAACTGGGCACAATTTATTTTTTTTTAAACTGGACATAATTTAAATGCCCAAGCAACAAATGAATTAATGAACAAACTATGATATATCTATACAATGGAATACTAATCAGCAATGAGTATGAGTGAACTACTGATACAACAACACAGATGAATCTCAAAATTATTACGCTAAGTGAAAGAAGCCAGGCAAAAAACAGTGTTATGATTCCATTTATATAAAATTCTGGAAAATTAAACTAATCTCTAGTGACAGAAAGCAGACCAGGGATTGCCTGAAGATGAGGGTAGAAGGAGACATATAGTCAGATGACAAAGGGGCATGAGGCAACTTTGCCGGGTACCACGAATGCTCATTATCTGGATTGTGGTACTCGTTTCACAGGTGTATACATATGTGATCCAGTTTTACACTTTAATTATGTGTGGTTTATTGCACTTCAATTCAGGAAAGTTTAGATAAAATTATCCAAAATGGATTATATCAAGGAGGCCATGGTTATGGGATTAACATTACTATTTCTGTAAATCTGACATCATGGAAAAAGAAAATGCTTTCACATAGGATGTTCTTTGGTGCCATTCAGACAAATTCTGACTACTCTACAGCATTAATATTATAGCCTCTGGCTACGCGGTGTCAAGGTTTTGATCACCTATATGAAGAGTATATTTTTTAAAGCAATTTTCAGCTAAAAACAAATAAGTCACCAAGTAAAAGGTAATCCTAGTTTTTAATGATATTAGTATCAGAAAATACTCGGTTTATAAAGCAAAGGATTTTTTCTAACTGCCAATACAATAAATCTAATTTAGGTTTAAAAATCTAGCTGTATGCTACTTAGGAATGTAGGCAGAGTAGAATTCAAAAAAATTTATTATTAAAAATAGTAACAATAAAATTAATATTTAATAAGTGGTTACTCTGTGCCAATCACTATTATATGCACTTAACCTATATTAATACTTAACAATCCTATGAGGATGGAGAAAACACGCATAAAGAGGTTAAGTAACTTGCCCAAGATAACACTGCTGAAAAGTGGCAGAGCCAGGACCTAAAGCAAGCATTTAATTCCAAAGTCTACCACATTTAACCACTATGGAAAAAAGAGAAATTAACAAGCAAAGGCATCTGAAGAACATCAGAACTGCTGTGCAGTTTTTCATTTTTCAAGAATAAAACACATCTTGTCTGCTCCATCGTTTGCTTAAATATTTAATCCCACAGTAACTTTATCAGAGCTCAAAAAAATAAAATGCACATACCAAAGAAGCTAATAAGGTAATTAAGAAGTTTCAGTCAAGAAGAAGAAAAGATTTTTCTCCCCACAGAACTGTTTACATCTCTCGCATAGAGTTTTCGAGACCCAAAGTGTTGGATTTTTTCTTAACCCTATTTTCTGTCTTGCAATTTCACTTAAGAACCTGTGCTCAAAACCAGTTTAGGGTGGAAAAAAACGATAAGCAGAAGGTATAAAATACTCTCCAATAAGCAAAAGGGCCACTCTCCTCCCTGCCACAAAATACAGCGGGTAGCAAGAGGAACTTCCAAAAAGCCCCACTCCACACAGCTCTGGCCCACAGACTGAAGTTCTCCTACCTTCTCAGTGGAAAGGTTGGTCTCGGCGTCATGTTTCTTCTGGGTGAAAACAATTGTAAACACAGCGTGGGAACGGCTACTTGTTTCATTCATGTTGGTAGCTGCCACTGTCCTAAATAGACAGAAAGGTGACCACGTGACAACAGAATTCTTAGATGAAAATTAAAAGGGAAAGCAGAATCTACATCGTAGGCATAACGATCACAAGCAACAGCTTTAACCTAATTCACAGGTTCCAAGACTTTCACATAAATTGCTCTTAATACACCTTATTTATGAGTCTATCAAGTTACCCTCCAACTCCAAGGGCACCACCTCAGAATCATTTTTTATACTCTAGGTGTCTCTTTAAAAATCCACCGAGGCATTTAATTTTTACTTTTTTATTAGGTTGTCATTCATGTGTCCAAAGGCACATGATAAACAACACTTTATTTTACCACGACTCAACCAAAACCTAATAGTAAAACTTAACCAAAGTTCTAACGTGTCTGATCAGTGTACTGTTTTGATGAGAAGATACCGAATATGCTGAAGCCCTCACTTCTCCAGCACAGCCAAAAAGGGATCTGCGGACACCACGATGACAGCAAATTCCACAGCTCTGTAGCCTCAGCTCTCCACTGGGAACAAAAGGCCTCAGAGTGTGCCAAAGACCTCAGTCATTAGTCTATTTCCTACCATACCTGGCTTTGTTCCCAGCATCCATGAGGTCAGCAATGTCTGTGTAGGAAGTGACTGCCAACTTTGACAGATCCTCCACATACGGGCCAAGAAGTGGGTGCTCACGCACGCGCAAATTACCCTTGTTTTTTGGATTCAGCAAATCGCGTACCCTTTCACAGTAAATTTCCATGTAGCTCACCTAGAAACAAATTATTAACGAATTAGGACTTTGAAAAAGACATCCTATATATTAAATAGATAAAACTATGCAAAGCTCTACAATGGGAGATCAGCAACCTTTATGACATGAAGTACCACAGTGCTAGTCCCTTTTACCCTATTGACAGTACGCACAGGTATCACCAAGTCAGTTAGAACCAGCCTTCTGACCTTCTCAGAAAGGAAAAGGAGGTAAATAGGCTATATCAGTACACAGTGGCTACTACCTGTCTTAAGCGGAAAAGATATTTTTAGTAGCAACTTATCAGTTATCAACAGTTTTAAGAAATGTGTGCTGTCATCAAAATTGGAGATTACAGTAAGCTTACTCCAAAATCCTGGAGACAAGATTTCCATTAATGTTAAAACCAAGGAACAATATCGACATTCCAGAGCAAGGAAGACAAAAGAGACTGGCGACTCTAATACTGACCACAATGTGACTGATTATGGACAAAAAATGTATCTACCAGAAGGGGTAAGGGCTGATCGGGTCGGAACCTGATCGTGTGGCAGGAACCAGCCAAGTCTCCTGTGGGAAGAAGCCTCAGGCAATATACTTCAGGAATTTTCACCCCATCATTGGGACCATTTCTATCCAGGAGATGAATGTGTTAGGCTATCATTTCTTCACTTAAGGCAATTACACATTTCATTATCTAATTGATTCCTCTCCCTCTAATTCTATGCTCACCAAAAAACTAACAGCATTCCAACAGAAATCCGCCCACAGGAAGATAATATACTAGTTGTGCTGATGTGCGTGTCTAGTCTGAGTAACAGTTATTCTTCATGGGAAAGTAACAAATCAATATGCTGATTATAACATCAGTCAAATGAGCTTCACTCAAGAGTATGACTTTGAAGGATGATGGTTCTGTTCCTAGTGTATCATCAGATTTCTAATCAAACAGGGCTCTAAATTGAGGTTAATTCACCACAGCAGCCTAATTATGACACTTCCCCAGGAATCAGAAACTTCTGTATCACTGAGCTACTCAAGCATACAATATAACTTATGTGATTTTCAACTTTAAATTTCTACAGACACATTTTCAGAGATCTCTAATGGAGCTTCATCTCCATTTCTATTGTCTTTTGCTTTTATTCTATCTCAGATCTGACTGTATTTTTATACTGCATTTCAAAATCAGTTTTTAAAAAAATCGAGAATGCTGAATGATAGAGTAACTGATCCATTACAAGAATAAAACAAACAGTATGGAGGTTCCTCAAAAAATTAAAAAGGGATATACCTTTTGACCCAGCAATTACACTTCTGGGTATTTAGCCAAAGAAAACCAAAACAATAATTTGTAAAGATCTATGCACTCCAATATTCATGGCAGCACAATTTACAATAGCCAAGATATGGAAGCAACCTAAGTGCCCATCACTTAGGTTGGATAAAGAAATTATGGTTCATATATACAATGGAATATTACTCAGCCATTAAAAAAAATGAAATGGGCCTAAAGACCTAGAGGTCATTATACTGAGTGAAATAAGTCAGATAGAGAAAGATAAATACCATATGATTTCACTGATATGCGGTATCTAAGGAACAAAAAAAACCCAAACTAATCAAAAACAGACTCACAAATATGTGGACAATTTGGTGACAGACAGAGGGGAGGGGAGTTGGGAGGCTGGGAGAATGGGGTGACGGGTTAAAGAAGTACATACAAATTAGTAGTTGATAGTTGGGCACAGGGAGCATGGCAGAGGGAATGCGGTCAGCATTAATATGATGGCTAAGTGGAGGGCCTGGGGAGGGAGGAGGGAGCAATTGGGGGAATCGTTTTATGAACGTTGTGGACGTCTAACCAATTTACTGTATACTTGAAACTAAATTAAATAAATAAATTTATTTTTAAAAAAGTATAAAACAACAGGACAACAAATAATCTTTCTAAAAGCGGATCATCCTAGAAAGTGAGATGGTACTTTAATCATTCTCATGTACTTAAACTTGTACATACAATCCTGAATCTCACGAAGATATTACATCTTCTCGGAAAACTTGCTCCTTTTCACATGAGTATAAGACTAAGAGGACCCAAAATAACTGGGTAAAAGTTGATGTGCTCCATTACTTATTCTCTAATGTGCAAATCCATCTAATGCCATCACTATTTCTTTTACTTCTGAACCAACCATTGCAGACCCCACTTGGCAAATTCAATTCATTAAGCATCGGACATTTTCAGACACTTTCTAGGCACCTGCCAACTATCAGTAAATAAAACAAAGGTCTCTGTCCTAGTGAGCTTATGATTCTAGCGAGGGAGACCAAAAGCAAACAACTTAAAAAAAAAAAAAAAGGTAAAATTATAAAATAGGTTAGAATGTGGTAAGTACAATGGAGAAAAAAAAGAACAGGGTGAGGGAGATGAGCGCAAGTTGCAGTATTATACGAGGTGCTCAAGGCCAGCCTTGAGAGGGTAAGATCTGAACAAAAGACTAGAAAGAGGTGAAAAACTCAGACAAAAAGATATACAAGGGAAGAAAATTTCAGAAGGAAAAATAAAATGTAAAGGTCCCGAAGCCGGAACACTCTTTGGTATGTTCCAGAAACAGCAAAAAGCCAGTGTGGCTGGAGCAGAGTGAGGGAGAGAAGCACGAAGGGAGGGAGAGGTCCCGCGAACGTAAGGGACCACACACAGCATCAACCAGGGACCTGCGCTGCACGCCACCAACGCCTGTGAACACTGCCTAATGTGAAAGAAACGGCTCTTTTCTCATTATCTACAAGCTCAAAAGCATTCTGTCATATGACACAAAACAGAATAGTTATAGGATGAGACCAGCTATTTAGAGAATTCATTTTGACAAAAAATATTTTTAGAGCAGCATATTCCCCTTTCAAATTATAAATGTATGCGACACTTCATAGGTAAAGAAAAAAACCCAAAGCATTTAAGTGGATCAACTAGGAACTGTGTAAGTCCTACAAATAATCACAACATAAACATTTTTTAAAAAATACAAAAAAACTAGAGTTTTTAAGAAACAGCTTAAGCAAACTTTCTCAACAAAAGCCCCATGTTAACAGAATACTGTGTCATGGTTTCAGACGACAGTCTGGTTTCATTCTTTTGCATGTGGCTTTCTGGTTTTCTCAAAAGAATTTATTGAAGAGACTTTTCTTTCTCCATTGTGTTTTTGGCTCCTACATCAAAAATTAGTTGCCTATATGTGTGGGTGAGAAGACTTTAATAATATTAGTTACGATGAAATTAAATACTAAAAATGGGGAGGGTATAAAATAATAGCTTCATAAAGTACATACAAAAAGTGGAAAAGTTCATCAAATAAACTAGTATACATAATTTTATAAAACTCTTCTTGAAAGAACTAAGGTATATGATGGATGAAGAATAACTTGCCAAGATTATAAGCAATTATAAAGGGGGGGAGAGATTTGATTATATGTCTTTGCAAAACTCATGCCTATCAAAAGTCATTGTAATAATATTAAAAGAAAAAAGTTCACACAAATGAATTGCAATCAGAACATGTAAACAGACATAGGTATCATTTACAGGACTGTCTAACTATAATAATAAAGAAACATGAGTTTAAATATGAGTGAGAAATTTTCCCTCATCAAACTGGCAAAGATTAAAAAACAAAAATACTAAATGTTGACAAGGGCACAATGAGTGCTTACATCTTCCTGATGGGGTTGAAAATTGGTACAGCTTTTTTTTCTAAAAGGCCACCTGGCAATTCAAATGTATTGTCTGACAACCAACATATATAAAAAGGAAACAACTGAAAGTAAAGCGAGACTTATGAATAAGGATTCAACTGCAACATTATTCATTATTACCAAAACTTAGAAATAGCCTAAAAACAAGTAAAAGACTGGGAGAATGGCTAAGTGAACTATATAGCACGGTCATAATTTCAAGCCAGTTAAAGGTAACATTTGGGGCGACAGGGTACGGAGGCCTTTGGCTGTACTCACCTCTACAGAGTAAGACATGTCTTCATTACAGTTGTCATTGATTTTCTCAAATAGTTCTTCACACAGCTACAGAAGCAGAATGAGAGAGGCATGAATAGCATAAAGCAGAGAAACAATACTCAAGACTGCGCGACCAATGAGCAAGATCGCCTTTCTCTCTTCTTTTCCTCAAAATAGTAATGGCTTCAACAACAAAGATGAATGCTTTGCATGAAATAAACGGATAGTTTTAAATTCATTCTTATCTACATTCTCCCTCAATAACAGCATCTCAATAATGTTTTCTGAGAAAGAAAGCCACATTTAGGGGAAGGGGAAGAATTAAGCCTCTTACAGTGTTATGTCATTAATACATTTACGTGAATTCAAATCTTCATACTACCCTGGAGTAACTGTGATCTACTATCAGTATTATTATTTTAGCAGTAAAACTACTATTTTGGCGGGGGCGCGAAGCAACCCCTGGTTGACCTCACAGATTGCAAGGACTCTGTCAGCTTACAATCTCTTATTTTTTTATTTATTTCTTACGCCTACAGCACCTGGACTTCCTAGGTGGTCTCCCATCTAAGTACTAACCAGGCCTGACCCTGCTTAGCTTCTGAGAAGTAAAACTACTATTCAACTACATTTTGCACATGTAATACTTACAATACATAAATTTTATCATATATCGTCCGTTACTGTATACGTTATAAACTTACGCATACATCCATACATGTACAGAGCATCACTGTGACTGTAAAACTTCCCCCGTCTTGACCCCTGCACCCCAACGAAAGGCAACCACCACAGTGACATCTCTAACAGAAAACATTAATTTTCCTAAAGAAAAATTATAGAATTTCACTCTATCTCTTGAACTTATTTAAAATATGTGATATTTTAATAAGAATTAAAAATCTACTGAATTTTCATTTGTTATTCATTTAGGATTAAGGCGATCAATATACATTCGGAAAATAAACTTCGTGATTCTCTAGGAGTCGAAATAGAATTTTGAAAAATTTATTACAAATGGCAGTTTCTAATAATCATCTTTTTTAAAAGTCATGCTTTTATATTAAAATAAAATATTCCAAAATTCTACCAGAAAAGATCAAGGAAAAGGAAGAAGAAACTAAGTGTGACGATGGGATAAATTAATATGACTATTTAGTACAACTTGCTATAATCTACAATGATTCTGTTGCCACAGAAGTATCACACAGTGATGAAAGCAGAGACTCCAGAACTACCCTGCCTGCATTTGGATCCTGGCTCTGCCACTTACCTGGGCAAGTGACATGACCTCTCTGTGCCTCAGTTTCCACGTCTGTAAAATGAGGATAGTAGCACCTACCCCTTCGAGTAATTTTAGGAGGACTACATGAGCTAGTATTTGTAAAGCAGTTGGACCTGTGCTTGCTACAGATGTTTCATTAGTATTTTAACTATCGCTACTATTATTTACAGAGAAGGACAATTTTCAAATATATATCTTAATACAGACATGTATTTTTTTACAGAAAAAATATATACTAGTGTGTTCATTTTTCTGAAAATTTCCTAATCTTTATTAATAATTAAGCATTTCAATTATAAAGCTAAATTTAAATTACAGTTCAATAATCCATTAGAAAAGTAGCTATTGCTCCCTTATATATTTTATTCTCAAAGTATACAGTCACATCAGGCTTATCGTAAAAGAACTCTTTAAAATTAATTCCAAATATCATTAATAAAGCGGACCTTTTATTAACATGAATAACATTCCTCTCATTAATAAAAGACACCCTTTCTAAGTACCTAAGTCACAACTCCTCTCCATTCCCAAACAATACAAGAGCAAAAGACTAACTGCTTTGAAAAAAAGAAACCTCAAGTTCCTCTCACTCTGCCGCCAAGAGGAGACCACGCTCTGGGGAACATTACCCCTTTTCTATTAAAATTTCCTTTAGACTCTTTAAAAAAAAAAAAAAATCTCAGATTGTTCAAGCTTGCAGTGACAATATTAAATTAATATAATAAAAGGAAAGTATCCACATGGTAATCCAAAAAAAAAAAAAATTAAATTCTAAAGAAGTGATCTACATATAGAACTTAGAAAACAATCAGACCAACAACATTCACCAGGGGTCCCCAGGATTCAGAACAGAGCCTGTTAACACATACTATCACTTTTTGAAGAAGCTGGTGACAATGTCCAAAAGACAAAATAACACGACACTGGATATACAGCAAAACCTTTACAAAACATCAACTTTCCCACATTTAATGGTAGACATGTATACATGTCCATATTTTCCACTAGACTGTTAGTCCCCTGAGGGACAGGTGATTTATCTTTGTGCTTTGCATATGATAGTCCCTGAATAAATGTTTGATAATTAAAAATAGTTGTTAAAGCTATTGAAGCTACTCTTACTGAGGAGTAAGAGTAATGATGAGAAAAGGCTATTCGTTGTTTTTTGTTTCTTACCTGTGGAATGATGCCAGCCTGGCTTTCTTCTTGTTTACCCATCATCGTGTAAGATTTCCCAGCACCAGTCTGCCCATAGGCAAAAATACAGACATTATATCCCTCGAAAGCATGTAAGAGCATTTCCTTTCCAATATCATTGTACACTCGGTTTTGAGATGCAAAACAGGGATCTTCTGGCTGTAAAGATTGAAAAGAGAAATAAATGGCATTTTATTCCTATTCTTTCCTATGCTTATTTGATTACTTCTGTAATAAATAAAAGTGTTTGGAATCGGAATAGTACCCTAAAATATACTATACTTTAAGTTCCCCTTACATGTAGTTTATTTTTTTCACTTTACACACACACACACACACACACACACACACACACAGCCACTATTAAGAGTCATCCAGGTCAGCCATACATAAAACTATCTACATGAAATTCTCTAGCATGATTACATTTCATTTTCCATAATCTTAGAAGTATCACTCCTTCCATTCATAGGGAGTTCCAAGAAAATTTTCTTGGAAAATAGGACTGAAAGATCAAAGGTCAAGTCCACATATAAAAAATACTTCTTTGAAGTTGCTCCAGGTAGTGTGGCTATTTCTCAATAAACACAGCTTTCAGTGAAGAATGTTTCTGACCCCTTGCCCAGGCCCTTCTCTTGCCAGTTAGGCTTTGTCAACAGTTTAAAACGTCTCCTAACCCAACACACAACAGGAAAAAAAGAACCAAAAAAAGCCTAACAAAGAGATGCAGTTTCTAAACTCTAGTTTAGAAACAATCCCGAGAAACCAGCACAAAGTCCTATAATGAGTAAAGATACTGCGAAGGGCCCTATTCTCCACTTTGCTAGATGTCAGTAATTGCTGTTTTCCTTGTTGGACTTGCAGGCTCCTTTAAAATGTTCAAAACCCACACAGTTCTCTTCTTCCCCAAGACTCCACTTACCGAGGTGTGAGACCAGTAGGAGTAGTCAAAGCTGAAGGACTTTGGAGCTTCCTTTGGGTTCTTTGGGTTAACAATACCTAGAGGATAAAAATGTTTTGATTTTATAAGTCACTCAGTTACACGATCTTTAGTTCAACATGATGTCAAGTTCAAAACATCCAAATCAGTAAATTCACACCACTGAATCTGAATAGGGCAATCAGAAAATGAAAATAATCACATTTTTAATAGGTGATCTATATATGGAACTTGAATCAGAGCAGTAACATTCACTGGGTGTCAGTCACCAAGATTCAGAACAGAGCCTGGTGCACGGGAGGTGCTCATTAAATATCCTGTGACTGAACCCTAGGTAAGTTAGCAGCCGAAGTCTGGAAATGGGTCGTGTTACTATTTCAAGGTGCCTCACAGGTTTCAAATATTTCAACACATCGGAAATAAAAATTAGAAAATTATTGAATTAATCTAACTATTATTTGAAACAAACTTTTTAAAGCTCTTATCTACTTCAGAAAAGCAGATGGTAATGAAGCATTCACTGGAAATCCCATTCACTAATACATAAATTATTATATGTGTACATATATGTATATATGTGTATACGGTAGGATCACCGACCACTAAATCTTCTGTGCAATGTTATAAACGGTAAAATTACTTTCTGACTAAAAAACATGAAGTATCTGCTCATATTAAAAGTGATTTCTCGTGGGATTAATCCAGTCCCACTCCACTTCCGGGGCTGAATGCTGAGGCTGAGCCGCTCTCCCTTTCTCATACACGCAAAGCTCTGGCTCCTCAGATTTCACATGGAATAGAATCCTTGTAACATGTGGCCATGAAATCTCCTCAAAGTGCAGACATCTCGACCAATCCACTTCTCTAAGGCAGGGCCACATCCCAGGGTATCAGTGATATCAGGATTAAAAAATAAATCTGTCCAGAGCAGCTGCTGCTCAAGACACAAATAGCAACAGTTGCTAAGGTGCTTAGTTCTCTCTCTTGCCGGATTCCACTGGGTATGGAGACACACTTATGTTCTAACCTCAAATGCTGACAGAGTATTAATAGGGCTCACACTGCACATAATCATGTGACAAGGAGATGTGGTTCTAGAAAGAACATCTCCCACAAACAAATGGGAACTCAAGCAAGGAAGAGTGCTTCTAACCAAAAGGCACTATATGTAAAATTTAAATAATAGCCAACCTTCATGGAGCACTTACTCTAAGCTGTAAGTACTTTGTCTACTAACCTACTTAATCCCCCAACCACTCAATAGAGCAGATGTTTTATTATTCCCATTTTACAGATAAACCATCACAAAGGTTAAATAATTTACCCAAAGCTACAGAACTAGCTAGCAGCAATCCAGGAGGTGAACCTGGAGAGTTGGCACCCAAGCCCACACTTTTAATCAAGACAGCCATCACTTAAATGCTTATTCCCTACAGGCAGCCACTGCCAGGGCAAACACAGTATGGCATTTTTATGCAGATGCATACATATATGTGTGTATATGCACACGTATGTCATAAAACTTCTGAGCCATGTTTCAGTCAGTCTTTTAGCTACTTGCTGGTGGTACCACTTCCTCCAAGAACAACTTAAGAAAGAGCTAGTTTTCAGATCCTTTTGTTCCCTTTTTCCTAGTAAAGAAAAAGAAAAGCTACAACAGTAATTTCCTTGATTCACATGAAATCCTTTTCTTCTTCTTCAATATTCCCTTCTCCCATCTTTGAAATTTCTGAAACTAATAAATTTTCCTAACTTCCAGCTGCAAAAACAAGCTGTCTTTTAAATAACTGCCTCTGGACAACAACAAAACCCTTTTTATTTTAACGTACGGAAATAAAAAATAATTTTAAAGTTATTTACATCATAATTATGTCAAACGAGATTAAACTTAGCCACAATATTTAATAATTTTAAATTCTTAAATGAAAGCTATTTCCTTAAGACACCTTAGGACAATCAAAACTCCATGCTGTGTTACCTGTTTAAGGGGAAAATGTAATAAGCAGAAAGCCTCAGAAGGGAGGGGTGATTTTTACATGTTAGGTTGGGCAGTAGTTATGGAGTCTTCATGTTTATATGTACATTGTATTATCTTTAATTCATAAAATATTTCCTAATAAAACATTTTAAAACTCCATAACTATGCAAATAAATAAGGATAAAATATTAATGACAGCAACTGAATTCATCAGAAGCCCATGAACTCCGATATTATTTCCACGGACAATGAATTAATGTTTTCAAATATGCCAAAGTATTTTTCTTTTTGAATTAATAATGACTGAGATCTAACTCACTTCTTTTAGCCAACTAAAAAATAGGATGTTTCTAATCATTAATAAGAGGGGGGAAAGGGAGGCAGTACATTTAATAGGAAGGGTTTGGGCTCTGGACTTAAAGAACCAGCATTAGTGCCTACGCATTGGTATCTTTTAATATTCTAATCATATGAGAAACTGAGACCTAGATGAGGTTTTGCTGTGACCTTGGGTATTGCTGCACTTCCGTGTCTTCTCTATACGGCCCTACACCCAACGAGCACTCAGATGAACGTCTTCCATATGTCACGCATCATTTTAATCTGATTAAATACCATACCATCTTCAGGAGCAGAGAAAGGAAAACCAAAACAGTACTTAGCTATGCAATATATACATAAAATACTAGTAAGTTTTATCAGCTTTCACAGAAAGAATTTAGAGAAAATCGTACTATTAAGGAGTGTCATTGAAATCTGGGGCAATATTAATACAGTGGTTCTTGCGGCAAAGCTGACCAGCTAGCACGGTACGTGGGGCTTCCAGTTTGCTTCTCAGAAAGCATGCACACAAGAGTGGAATTACAGTAAGAAATGAATGTGCTCGACATAGAAACTATATTTTCACCAATGTGAAAATGTAAAAGCTGTTACAAATGCAGCATGCCTCCAGGGTCATGGGTCATCGGTGTAAAGGCTTTGTCCAAGATGAATCACCACTGTTCTCCGGCAAGGAATGGCCTCCAGGCATATTTTTGAGGACCGGAGTCAGAACATAACGCTCATTTTAAGTGCTGTATACTTCATATTGCTTTATTTCCTATAAAATCACCTATTCATGCCACTTTTCAAGGCTCCTTTGAAACACTTGAGGTTTATCCTATCGAGTTTTCTCTGGAAATACATTACACTCCCGACCTGGACCCACCTCCACAAGCAACTTTTCATAGATGATCTCAGAGTTATCTTTCACTTTCTCCTCTCACCCTCCACATCTGATCTATCTTGCCAGTTCTACTTTCAAAACACATCCAGAATTCCACAGCTTCTCATCACCACCATCATTGCCACCCTGGTCCAAACCACCAACTCTGCCACCTGTACTACCTCCTGACTGGGCCCCCAAGAGACTCATCACACTGTAGGCAGTGAGCGTTCTCAGGCATCATCCAGATCACATCCCCATCAGGATGCTAATGAAAACCTTCCAATGGCTTCCCATCCTACACGGAACAAAAACCCCAGGGGCTTTATTGTTGCCCCGTCTCCCACTCCCTCTCTGACCTCCTCTCCAAAGATTCGCCCTCATTCCAGGGCCTCTGTACTAAGTGCTCTACCAGGAATGCTATTCTCCCAGGTATCTGAACAGCCCACTCCCTAACTTCATGCAGGTCTGTGTTCAAACATCACTTGATCACATGATCCTTCCTGATCATCCTATTTAAATTAGCATCCACTTCATTCTCCAACCTCACACATAAGGCACACGCTCAAGAGGCACCACCATACGGTAAACACCGAAAGACGTAAATAAATGCTAATATTATCAGCATTCACCTTCCCAAGTAGTTCTCCTGAAACATACTTGCAATTAGAAGGGTGAGGGGCTCAGCTCCTGGCCCAATGCAGAGCACAGAGCTCAAAGGAGGGCTATTATAAAAGATCCCAAGATCCTACTTTAAGAAAGGAAAAGTTAAACAGCATTTCATTCAGTGGGTACATCTATTAAGCACAAACTATGTGTTAGGCACTGTGCTGTGACTATAAAGAACAAGCAAAAAGGTTACTTCTGCCCCTTTAGAGTATATAGCCAATGGAGGAGACAGACCCATAATCACACGAATACATGATTTCAAATCATAAGCACAGAATCCATCAGAACATATAAAACAGAAAGGTAGAAAAGGAAACATATATGAAAGAGATGATCTTTTGAGTTCGTAAACTTTGATTTGGTGAATCAAAGAAGGCTAACGGATACATAGGAGAGAGCTAGGGAAAGCGGTGTGCTCACAGTAACCGCTGACACTCAGTGAATGCTCGCTATCTTCCGAGCTCTGTGCTGAAATTACATGTACTCACTCATTTAATCCTCACAATAATCTTATGAAGTAGGTACAATTATCGTTTCCATTTCACATTCGGAGCACCTGAGACACAGAGAGAAAGGCGCTTGCCCAAGGCCAGAGCCCAGATTGAAATCTAGACCTAAGGCCATAGGGCGATATGCATCCCAAGCCAGGGAACTGCATCAGGAAGCCCTGGGGCAAAAAGGAGCATGTGACACCCAGGTACTGGTAGGCGTTTGGCAGGTGTAGTCGAGTACAGTGAGCAGCAAACGTAGAGAAGCACCAAAATCTCAGGGTCAAATCACGAATGGAATTCAAGGAGCTGGCGAACCACTGAGCCATGCGCAGTCACTGGAGCGACTTGATGACATTTACAGGCTACAGCATAGAGACTGGATTGGAGGAAGGCATGACTGGAAGCACGGAGACCAATCACACAAAACACAACAACCACTGCAGAATGTTTGGCAACTTTTGCGTGCCATTTGCATAATGACACGAGACTGCATGAGGTATTATAAATCCATGAATTCCAGTATGTAGCATTTGTGGGGATAAAGAAAGAGAAAAGTCCATTCCTATATCAAAAGCACTGTGTCTCTAGATCCAAAACTGGATCTGGTCTTACAATTTGACTCAATATTCAATGATTAAAATTTGATTTGACCTAGAAAGTATTTCTAGAAGATATTTTCAAGGATTTTAGCAATAAAATAAATAGATTACTAGGACA